ATTTTCATGCGAAGGGAGGAGTTTGTCCGAGCTAGCAGTTACATTTCTATATCATTTTAAATTCTTCAATGAAAAGCTATAATTTTAAAAGTTTTAGAAAAATGAAATTCTTGTGGTTTAAAAAAAGCGCACAAAAGAACAGTCATCACTGATCTTGTTTGCGGTGCGAAATGCCCTGTCAACAGTTTTATATATGTGTTGCTTGAAATGGAGGTAATATGGGGGAAATGCTTTTTGGTTTGCAGGGGAACATTTTGTTGCAGTTTAGCAAGTGGGGCTAATTGGTCAGCTTGTTCAGTACACTCATGATGTACATGCACTTCACTGGCTAAGAGCTGATGGCAGTGGTAGTCAAGAAACATAGCAATGCTGTAGCAAAAGTCAGAGAAGAAGAAGAAGATGACTGCCATCTAGTTTTTACAATAGAAATACATTCAGCATTTGTGGTAGCTCTCACAGATATACACACTGCCTTTAGTGAGAAATACTGGATGTAAATGTAACTTTGTTTCCATGACTAATCCCCAGAGTTTATTTAAGCTAAGATGACTATGACACTGAGACTTTTGCTAGCCTAGTACCATGACAGGTTTGAAGACAGGCAAAACCCTCAAATTTGTCAGGCTGTGGAGACAATTGTGTCTTATCCTTTGCAGATTTTTACTAGAAGCCCTAAATGTTTAGTCTGGCTGACTACATATATGACTGACTGCATGATATAATATAGTATCGTTTTCTGCCGTCAGAATATTTCACTAGAGTGCTTAAATCTTGTGTGTCATCTGATCTCCTGAGTTAGTACTTTGAAAAAAAAACAAATGGCATGTGACTGGAGAAAGAGTGGAAGGCTTCATGGGTTCTCTAGCATACCATCCACTGTAGCAGGTGGGCAAAATATGTCTTTTCATTAATGCAAAGATTAGAAAAGACAGCCGTTGTGCCAGTGTCGCTTTGACATTCCAGATTACTGGAATACCTCTCTTGATTTGGACACCTGCACAGCTGTGACTCTATAGCTGCTGGACTTTTCACCTCTCCTCTCCTCTTCAGACAGCAGTGTTTTCCTGTGGTGGCCTACAAGAGAGCAGCAGCATTTTGTAGCATGACAGTGTTTGCTTTTATGTTCTTACTCTGTAAACTCAAGCACAGTAATAACACACACTTTGTTTTAGTGTATATGAGTAGATACGGTAACTGCAGACTAGGTAGGTAGACTAGTTTGTGTTGGCAATGTTACATGGTACTCTTTAACTTCAAGTAATTTGTAGGCTCTTTCACAGAACTGTGCTAAGAAACTCTGGTCCTGGTCTTAGCTTTTAAGGCCCCTATTTTTTGTTTTAAAACATAAAAAATCATTTAAGCCCACAGAGCTGCCCTTCCTTGGTGTGCAAATTGGTAGTAGTGTTACATTCAGGCGTAGGTGAACTATATAACAATCATATCCCACATTACAGTCCTACTAAGGAGGAGCTTGAAACCAGAGACAAGCCTGGTAAGACAGACAAAAATCTCACTACAAAAAACAAACCTAAATCATTACTGGCATTTTTTTAGACCACAAAACCACAAGTACAAGTATTATGATGTGACCATCACATAAAGGGCAGTGTAAGAAACACAAAAGGAAGCACCAAAAATTATCATTCTATATGTTCACACAGCACACAAAAACCCAGCAAGGCTTGGCCCTCAGAAGTATCTCATTAATACATTATTAATCTGACCAAAAAGATGCAGAGAAGCTGCACAGAAGCTAAGCCAGCATTAGGAAAGTTTCATTCAATACAAAAAAAATATGCACTACTTACTGCTCAGCCCTGCTCCCAGACTTTTGCTTGATTTATTTTGTGCATCATTTGGTTTTTAGTGGCCCAATGTTTAACTTCTTTTAACTCAAGATTTTGTGAGAAGATGGAGTCATTGTAAAGTGATGTATTCCCAGTGGCTGTTAGGATAATATCAGTTGAGCTTGGCTTTTTTAGAGGCAAGCACCGAGTTCTGTGCCAGCGTCTGGCGTTCTTGACAAGTAGTATTTTGGTGACACATTGATAAATGTGCCATTATAGCCATTGTAGATGTCTGGGGCAGACTGTAAAAGAAAAAGAGGGGGACAGAAACAAGGGAGATAGATGGATGGAGATAAATGGAATAAATGGATTGAAGCAGTGAAGGAAAGAAGAGGTTTTATAGTGAACAAGCAAAGACAGGCTTGTAAAAACTTGCAAAGAGTCTGAAAATGTCACAAACTTGTGACTCCAGGTTGCTCAGCTTTATGGAATGCTGTTCTCTTGTTTATTTATTTAATAGTTTATTTGACAGTAGGCAGCCATGGCCCAGAATTAGCTACAAAGCTAAATTTCATCTGTAGTCCCTGGGCAGGAAATAAATACATGAAAATTAAACATGGCATCATTAATCAACAATAAGAAACACTAACCATCAAATATTAAAAATCCTAATGTTAAAATTACATTATATTATGTTTAGACCACATTACACATACAAATGTTTCCAAAGGTTACTAAAATCACCAAGAAACCCAGTGATCCTTTAGCCAGGTCTTCAATTTGCTTTGTCTAATACTAATTGGTAATTTGCAGCTCTTACAGAAAGAGTTGAATTACCAAAATGTTTAAATTTATGCTGCATAACCTCTGTTTGTTTTTGCAAGTTTGGGTTGTCTCTTCAGTGATTTCTACATCTTACTGAGGGCCTTTACAGTTTGTGTTCTACATGATGTCTGCAGTGTAACAGTGCTGCATTCAGTCTTGGATTCCTTGACCACCACTATTGATACACCATAAATTAATTTAAAAATATTTATTTCAGGTTTATTATTCATGTTAACTGTTGTATATATGATCCACTGTGTAATCATTTTGTTGAGTAAATAACATATTTAATATGATTTAAAATCATTTTATATAAAACTGAACACCAAATGAAAAAGTCTTCTCAGTTACATAAATCATACATTATTTGCAACAGTAAGTTCAGATTTATATGCTGCCGTCCTTGCATTACTAATAGCTTTGTCTCCTTTGGTGGTTTTTGTAAGGATGTGATTAGACTGGTGATGTTTGGGGGCTTTTTGGAGTTTTAGTTATTGCTCTCATTTTGTCTTAATTACGATTTTATGAATTGTGCCACATCTACTGCCTTGCCCCCATTTCACAAATGACACTAAGTGTAATATAGACAGTGAACATTTGTGGTATTTAAAATATCTCTCCCTCTCTTTGAGTCACTGTGGCTTCTAGGGCGTACTGCAGGGGGGACAAGGCTGGGTTTACTGTACAGGCTTAGAGAGGGGAGCAGGCTGGGTGCGAAGATGTAGTGGGAAGGAGGATAGACATGTTTTCTTTTAGCGTGTCTTCTAAGTGTGTGTTTCCTGTCCATGTGTACATCTGTGTAGTACATTAGTATGCTTATGCATGTGAACACATGCAATCAAAAGTGGTAATGTTGCACCTACATCCTTGTGTGCATGCATACTTATATACAAATGTCTATGCTTAAAGAGGCCCACTTTGACCCCTCCTGCATATGGGAGAAAAAACAAGCAGCAAACACACTGACAACGAACAGGAAGCTCAGCTCAAGAGCTGAGTCATTTATTAGAACAGAGTTTAGCCAAGCTCTGACATGTTGGTAAACAACACGGGACCAGTTAGCAGTAGAGATAGTGAGAGAAAGGAAGACATGAGGGTAGGGGGAGTGAGGGGGTAAGACTGAGGGAAAGAAGGAAGGAGGTCTATGCGGGATGGAGGGAGGGATAACTAGCAGGAAGTGGAAGGAACAAGCATTTACCCTTTCTGTTTGCTGAGGCTGGACTATGGGAGACTGTTACTAGAAGTTGTTGCATTGTATCTCTGCATGGAGAAGGCACTGTGAGGAGCTGGTATAGTGTGAAAGAAGACACTTTGAAAGATACATTTAGATTTGTCCTACTGCACTCTTATTTTCTTATTTTTCATTATTTTCTTTCATGCACCACAAATTAATCGGTGCTACTGAGTATACAATAAAGTATTTAAATATGATTTTACTCAGTGCTGTCCTTTCATTCTGCTAGCTGTCACACACCTTGTCCACTGAATTGCTCAGTTGGTGTCTGTTTGCTCTGCACCTGTGTACACTAGATGTTGCTAGTGGCTTAGTGGGGATTGTAAATGGATAGAGATTCAGCAGCTCCTGGGTGGTCTCATTGTTCACAGCACAGCCGCTAGGGTTTATTCACAAACCCTAGTGGGGTATTTTTAGTGAGTTACTCTTAATTGATTGAGTTAACATCCTGTGTTGGTTTCTCTCTTTCTATCTCTGCTTTTCTTTTGTATTTTCTGCCTTATTCCTCTGTCTTCCACCAAGGTGCACTGAACTGAGGATAACATACATGCAGTCAGTTTTGTATAGTAGTATCACATTTTCTTGCAAAAATAAAAAAGATGATGAAAACATGCAGGAAATGATGACCTTGTTTTATGTGCACATTTTAATAAATGATTGTTGTTATCACATTGACAAAAAAGCTGTTTTCTGTCCCTGCTTCACAATAAAAGTCACCCCAGTTAAAATCATTTTAATGTGAAGGATGGTCTGTTTACATTAGCAGTTAATATATCTCTTGTATGGTGTAAAGAAGTTACATGCATGCCTGAATTCTTGTGCATGTGAAGGCAATTTAAATCTAGCATGGAATGGCGGACTACTAACAATAAAGACTACTATACAGAGGGGTAATTACAGAATGTAAATACATTAAATGACCACTGGTGAAAAAAAATGCAGATTGTACATATAATTAAATATTAAGCATTAAATTTTTAAATTGGGTATTTTGATTGACCAGATATCAGAAAACTAAGGCTATTTTTGACCCTGTGAACCAATATTTCTGTCCTCTCAAGACACTAAAATGAATGGGTTTCCCTCTCTGTTCTGTCTTCCTACCTGAAACTAAGGAAATTAACATGTCTGTGCTTGATGATGTCATCCCACAGGGCACAGTTGAAAAAAAAACTTAGAAAAGAAGGGCACGGGCATGGAGGAAATGGACTTTGAGCGGCGTCGGGAGCTGAGAAGGCAGAAGCGGGAGGAGATGCGCCTGGAGGCTGAACGGTAAGACCCACTGAGTTGTCTTTCATTCAAGTATATAGATTGGTACTCCAGGGTTTTCCATCTAATTCTCTTGCAAAGCAGAAAGTCTTTGAAAGGTCAGTCCACAATAATTTCATTTGTAGCTGCAGCCACAGATGCCCCGCAGTCCAGAGTGCAGTCAAGATCTTACTACTTAGGTTGTGTGAAACTGAGGGAGCAGCCTGTGTTGTGTAATGAAACTGATTGTCACAGCATAGTGCACATTCTCTGGTGTTTATGCCAAGTTGGAACAAGAGAGAGCTAGCATTAATAGTTAAACCTTCTGCTAGGTCTTTAAAAGCACTGCTTAGCAAATACAGATTTCCCTTACTCAGTCTAGAAGATAAAAGAGTTTGATAAGAAATCTGATGACCTTAAAGTGGGAATGTTCACTCGCACTCTCCCTCCCTCTTTCTAATTTTCTTTCCCAGATACTGTGGCTCTGTGAACTCTGATTCAGTGGAAGAAATTAAAGTTCATTTCAGCAAAGTGATTCAGTGATAACATGCCAAGTGCAGTAATCAAAAATAATAAAAAGGGGGTTTATTGTGAGAACTTGATGCATAGTGTGACAAAGCATTTTATAGGACCTTTTCACAAATGTATATTCAGCTGTGTTGCAGCTGATCCAATTAAGGATGAGGCTGATGTGGATACAGATACTGGCCAAGGTCACTTGCCTGTTTGATTTATCTGTACAGAGTGTCTTATTAGAGCCAGTTACTCCATCACTGATGAAAAATAAGCTGATCACTGCAGAATTTATAGATGTTTCTTTGATGATTTTTTTTTTTCGACACAGAGAATGCGTGAGTAGCATTAGTGGTGAACAAAACCTTTTGCTCAAGGAAGAAATAACATTTCTTGTATAAGGGAAAATGTGCACAATAGCAGAGATAGACTAGATATCATTCAAAGTTAAGTCATTCGTTTAGATAGAAGGGTGTTCATTGCAGATTTGCGGGGGTCTTTTTTGCTCACAAACTGAACTTAGGATAAAACTAAATGGTATAACCTAATAAGCTATGACTCAAACCCTGTAAAATCAGTGACAGTAGTGCAAATAATAAAAAGATTGTCAGATGGTTGTGAGATTGAGTTGCACATGGACAGTAGTGCAAATGACCGACAGCAGCAGATATAACGGTAAAAACAGTCAGCAGCGGATTTACATGTAATATAACAGGGGGCGGTAATGGACAGCGTTCAGCATCCTCACAGTCTGAAGCTGTTTGTAAGTCTGGTGGAGTGGGCCTGAAGACTCCGATACCTTCTCCCTGAAGGCAGGAGTCTGAAGTGGGAGTGTGCGGGGTCATCAGCAATGCTGATGACTCTGCGGGTAAATAGGCAGTAAAATCACAAATCTAAGGCATTTTAAAGCACCAAGTAAAAGAAGCAGGCGGGAGCCGTGGAGTGCAAATATTCAGCAGTGAGTATGCAACTATGCATGTGCAAAATGAGTATGTAAACAGTACAGAACAGATGGAATTACATGAGGTAGATCCTGAGTCAGCTGTTTGGGAGTCTGATGGCAGAGGGAAAGAAAGTTTTTCAGTCTAGAAGTCCTGCATTTCACACTTTTGAGCCTCCGACCGGAGGGCAGGGGTATGAACAGCCCATGCTGGGGGTGGGTAGGGTCCTTGAGGATGGAGGCAGGCCTCCCCCA